TACGAGTCCATTTCGTGTTCGCTCCGAGCATTGTCAGCGCCCTTTAATGGTTCAGGTAATAAACATAAAAACTAATTTCCCCCAAAAAAAGCCAAGAATGTGAATCAAAAGATTGTCCTGCTAGATTGCGGCGAAATAACAACAAAACAGCCAGGACACTGCACCCCAAAGGATGTCCATGTTCATGTGCTACCAGAAAGCGGTTTCGGTTTCGGTTCGGGCCCGGTTTCTGGCCCTGGTTCTGGTCCTGGAGCTCTGCGGTTTCTATTTTGTGGTAATTTCCGTTTATGTTTTTGAATTTTTTACCCACGACTGCGCAAACACAACCGACTGCTGATGATGGTCGCTTTTTGAGCTCGTTGTTCGTCGGATGTTTGTTCGAGGCTCAGTGTGCTTTTACGGTTGTCTCCAATGCTCCTCCTCGTATTTGTTTTTATGGAATTAAAAAATTCCTGCCGGAAAGGGACCTTAATTAAGCGGGGTCGTCGAGGCGGACAAAAAGCCATCCTAGCTAAATGATTATTTTGCAATGGGAATACGATTTTTAAAGTCTAGTTAAAGTGTAGATTTGGTGATAGGTACGTCATAATTTTATATCACATTTGGTTTTAGATTATTTTAAAATGTTATGGGAATATTTCGTCGTTAATTAAAGTTTTTATAATACTCAAAGTATCCTTTTATATCCTATTTTTCTATTTAAAAATTAAGCCTTTTAAATCTCTTCTTTGTTTTCAAAAGTCCTTTACTTATTTTAAGCTGTACAAGTTTTTTACCTACATTCAATTGCCATGCTGCAAACAATTGTTTTATTTCCATTTATTGAAGTTGTTTAAAATGTAAATGGTAAAAGCATTGCCCTGATAAGCACCACATTTGGCACCTGGGGAGAGCGGCGAAAAAAATAGCCTATATTAAAAGTATTATTCTTTCGCCGCCGCTGTGCATATTGTGCAATAATAAAACAGCAAGGCGGAGAACAGAGCGGGAACAAAGCGGCAATGCTTTCAACTGTAATGATAAATGAACGCAAACTCCGGACATAAATCAACAGATGGGGGCGCCTCCGCTGCCGGAGTGTGGCACCTCCGATGCCGTTGATGGGATAAGCCCAACTTCGGCCGCGAACTAACTACAGCCATAGTCGTCCCCACTGCACAGGCAGCACCCCTTTGGATGATTTAAGCCCGAATGCCTCGGCTCCAAAATGTGTTGTGGGAAATATGCATAAAAGGAACACGGCAAAGTATCACGGGAAAACAGAGGAGCAGCAAACACACACACACTCTACGTTGCGTTGTTGTCTGCGGTATACGCGTACAATATTTTTAATTTTTCACATTTTTTTGAACAAATGAAAAAGAGAAACCCGAGCCAAAGGTGCAGCTCAGCCCCAGTTGGGTTGGCAGTCCCAATCCCGATCCCGATTCCGCAGAGAGACACCTATGGAGCGCGAAAGACCGCCCGGAGGCAAATGGCGCAGCCACAGCAACGGCACCCATGTGGGTCACACAAACACACACACACACACACACACACTTGGCCACAACACAACACCCGTAACACCACCCCGGATGAACACCCAACTCGACCCGCCACCACATCCATATGCATTCGCATTCAGACGTTGCCGTTTCGAGTTGAAACATTTTTTATAAAATTTACCCAGTGTCCTTTGGGTATGCTGGAAGCTTGTGAGAGTGTGGAAGAGAGATAGAGATGGAGATGGAGGGAGAGGCAAAGCCATATAAATAAATCAAAGTGAAATTAAAATCTATTGAAATTGTGTTTAATAGTAAATAAACATTTTTGGGACAATAAGTTCCTGCTGTTTTCTAATTTACCTTCCTCAAAATTATTCATTTTAAATTTCTCAATAATTCTACAATAAAGCCTTTTTAGTAATTGTTTGTTTTTAAATTAAAAATATTATTTTTAAAATTATAAATTAACTTTGAAACTTTTTACTGCATCAAATAGTTCAATACATGCTTTTAGGAAGAAGAAAATTTATATAAATCCCAGAGTATCCGCTCGTCGAATCATTTTCAGCTGGGACGTTTCACTTGTTTCGAAATTGCATTGTGAATAATGTAGTGTTAATTCTCGAGAGTGCCATGTTCCCTGTTTTATGGGTTTAATGCTTTTGTTTATTGGTCTGCTGTTGCGTCAAGTAAGGTTTCTGCTCCGGCTCCGACTCCGGCTCAGGCTTCAACTGGACTCTTCGGTGCAGGGCAGGATGTGGCAGGATATGGCAGGACATGTGGGACACAGAGAAAGGGATTCCTGCTGCTGACATGCGATAAGAAAGCGCGCATTGTTTGGCCGTTGGCTTTGAGCCCGGTAAGTTGTCCAGCTGGCTGGCCCTTTGGCTGCTTGGACAGCTGACACGGTTAACAAATTAAATTTGCATTCCGCTGGCCAACGCCCCAGGCAGGCAAGTAGGGAATGACTATTTATTGCCATAAATAATCCCGGCCAGGCAGTATCATAAATATCCAAAATAGATACTGTCTCTAATGTCAACACCTCACGAATTCCCGAGAGTTCGGTTTGCGGGAGTGCCGTGGCTCATCAGGATATTTCTATTCCTGATGGAATTGATGTCCCCAACAAACATTTTAATCGATTCTTTATCGCCTTTCAGCACGAACACTTTCGGTCCGGCATGCATAAATTAAAGTCGTAATGGACAATCAATAATTATGATTGACAATATGGTCGCCGCCATCGCAATTTCATTAATTGATGGCCTGACACATTCATTTCGTCTCATCGAGCCTTCAAGTCCGCAATTGGAATGCGATTATTTGATTTTCCTGCACTCATGTCGATAAATAAAATCTCAATTCATTTTATCTGTTTGCCCTGCAAATGTCATTTGGTTAAAATGGCTTGGAAAGGATTTGTGGCCAAAATAATCGAACAAATTCATAAAAATGAATGTTAAGCCTTGGGTTTCTTTATTGTTCGGCAAGTGGATATACATCAAAATCAAATTGTATTTTATTGAAAGATATTTTGTTTAATTTAGGCTGTTTAGTTTACAGTTTTATATATCTAAAAATAAATTGTTTAAAATAATAATCATAATTTAAAGAGGGTGCACAGTCATTTGCTGTTCCATTTAATTTCAAGTTGCCTTCCTATAGAGTTAACTGCTCGATAAAAATGAGCATATCCCGAATAAACAATTTTAATAATTTCGTTTTATGAAAATTGCGCTCGGGTTAAATGATTCGAGAAGAATGTGTGCGTGGGGGGAAAAAGGAAAAGTCGTAGCTTTTAATGTTTTGCACGGCGAACCTGTCCGCATGACTGCCTGGCGGCATTGTGCTTCGTCGGACGTGTCCTTTCACCCCTGCCAGCTCGGATTTCAATCATTTCGGGGCGGATACGAGTCGCCGCCCTTTGACCCCCGCCCCGAAACTGGACGCAATCCAATCAGCAAAAGTCGCTGCTGCAAATCTCTTTTAAATGAGCCACTAATTGCAAACTGAAAGATAATACACAAAGACCCAGCAACACCCCCAGCCCCAAACCCAGCTGCAAACTAATCAAGGCCCCCCCCACTCGCAAAAATAGGGGAAAAAAACGCCGTAGTTAAAGGAGCAATTATCGCAGAGATAGGAAGAACGAGTTTTTGTTTTGCGGCAAGTTTCGGGGATAACTTTTATTCCCTGTGCTTGTGAGGCACGTTTATCAGTCGGTAAGTTTTCCTCGACTGCCTTTCTAACTCCCCTTTCCCTCGCCTTTGTTAACTTTCCGCCTTACTAATGTCCATCAGAGATATAGGGCCCGAAACTTTTATTTTGTAAGCAACGTTCTGGATCTGGCGGAGCTTTTAAAAAGTTACCAGCACATGTGTGTGTGCCCGACATGTGTATTTACATAGTTCTAATCAGGATGGGGATCGGATCCCTGCTCGAGTGGATTACGAGTGCACATGTCTGGCCAGAAACTTCCCGACAACTTGTTTTGGTTAATCAAAAAAATATGCTAGATTAACAAACTTTAACAGCTTACAGTACAGAACGCGGACAGGGAGAGAGAGTGTGAAAAAAGTAATGATAAATAAGCAAAAAGTAGTCTTAATGTCATCATTAGACGCAACACTTGCCAACGATTTCTCAAGGGGCTCAAACTTCTGGAAGTGTTGAACAATCTTTGGGTAATAGGTTTTTTGACAGATATTATAAGAAGCCATAGTCATTTGAAATTTTACTGAATATTTTTCAGTGGAATATTAAAATTCTTTAAGGATATGTAATTTTAAGGAATGAGTTTATGAGTGAGCTTAGATAACTTAATATTATTATGGTATAATACCCCTATTTCCCATTGAATTCCATCTGTTTCCGTTTGAAAATGTTCCCTGATTATTGAAATATTCTCGTTTGAGCTTCACCACATTAATTAATTAACTATTTCACTGTTTGCTTAAATAGTTTGGTCTGTTGGTCAGCTTGAATTCCGCCAATTACTAGCTGTGCTGAACAAAAACCTATCGGTATACGCATTTCGCACTTTTATATGCCAGCTCTTAATAAATTTAATTAAAGCGAGATCCCTTTTAATCAAATCAAACGAAATCAGTTCCTGCAAATTAAATTTAAGTCAAAGAAGAAAAAAAAAATGATAAACTGTTAAATTTAATCTGATTTATTTGCAGAGCTCGCTTTGAAGTCGCTGCGAATGGGGGACCAGATTGTGTATGATGAGATTATTTGAATTACCTTTGCAATCAAATTGACACCACATAGACGTCCTGGACTGACGGGGACAGACAGTTGGACAGGAAACTGACAGCGTCAACTGAAGGGGTGCTTACTCCATCCATCCCTCATGCAGCTCCGGATTGGAAGGCGGAAGCCGTCGACGTCACTGCCAGAGAGACCCAGGGTCCAGGACAAGTGTCACTCGGAATGCTCTGCATTATTCAGGCTGGAGCACGTTCAAATTAAATTTTCACTAATGTTAGAGAATCCTTCCCAGAGCAGGCTGGTAATTGAACGTAATAGGAATTCTAGGCACTCGGCATTAGCAAACGTCAACAAGAGCAAATTGCACATCACCGGAAATAGTTACAATATAATAATATTTAGTGTATAGTATACACAAAATGGAATACAAGTGGGAGCTATCGGAGGTTTCAGGTTGGTTCTGCCCGAAGGAAAACATAGAGGTACCAGGCAAGGAGTCCTTAAGGCTAAAGCAGCATCCGAAGCAGGATGCCAAGGCCCAGAAGCTCCCGAACGTCCTGGTTGAAACTGGATATAAGTTTAAAAACGAAAAGATAACTCTCATACCCCAATTTTTGCCACCACAGGTAGGATAGGATAGGATAGGAGTTTTGATACGATCGATTATATCATAAATATCCCAAATCCAGGCCTATCGCTACAAGGACATCTATTCCAGCCGACAGGATCAGCGTATACAAAGATGCATTGAGCAAGAGCGCAAGCAGCGAGAGTTTCACAGCCGTCCTATGCCCAATTTCCGGCAGGTGCACGAGCGCCAGGCCATGCGGACCGTGACGCACCGCATTACCATGCCCGTGACCCCCAATGTTCTCCGAAATTCCCTGGAGATGGAGCTCAAGCGTCGCCAGCGTGAGCAGCAGCTGTTGCGCCAGCGCGAAGAGGAAGCCAAGCTACAGCGACAGCAGTCCTTGCGGGCCAAGCCCATTCCGTCCAGCAGTCGCCAGCCTTTGAAGCCGGTGAATCGCCAGTCGGTGAAGGTGGAACCCTTCAACCTAACCGCCGAGCAGCGTGTCCAGCAGCGACGAGTCTATAATATCCAGAACTCCCACATGCAGGAGATGAAGCGCCGGGAGCTGGAGGAGCAGCGTCAGCGGGAGGAGCGAGAGGCCAACCACAGGCAGCGCCAGCTCACCACGTTCCGGGCTCGACCCAACCCATTTGCAGGCACCGCACGTTGACCGGAGAAGGAGATGCCTTCCTTCCTTCCTTTCTTTCTTTCTTTCTTTTCTTGTTTGTTTGGATTTTTCGTTGCAAATTTGTTTTGTTTGTTGTTTTTGTTCGAAGAAATTAAATTACTATAATCACCAGCAAACAGCCACAAACACAAGCTCACGAAGGAGGCTACAGTTTGGGTCAAGTTAATAGCAATGCTAAGAAACTTTATAAATAATTTGAGTGTTTTAGGCATACATACATCGTTTCTTTTCAGCTTTCCTTCGTTTTTTTTTAATCTTGTAAATTAAATTAAGATTGCAAAGCTATGTGCACCGCCACAGGTGTATTTGTAACTTCCGCACATTCAATTTGTTCATTTAAAATGGCTTAGGTCGGCGGCTCCATCAATCAAGTGGCCCTGCCCCAGTCCACCTATGTATGTATATGGATGTGGAGGAAGGTAGCATATATATATATGGGAATCGGATCCAATCCAATCTGCAGCGGAGGGCAACGCCCACGTACTCCTCTACAAACAATTTGTTGTAAGTGTATCAATTGGTGCGCCTGCAGGGGAGTGTGTGTCCGGGGGGGTGTGTGTGCGTGGGTACGGCACATAATCAAAAGCACAAATACTAAAACAAGCACTCAAACTGTCAAAGCGATGATTGATAGTGTTGACATTCGCTTTTTGGCTCCAGCCATCAGCCATCGGCCATCAGCCGTGGGATCTGACTTTTTGTGCATTGAGCTCCTGTTAATGGGACGTTTTTGGCGGTGGCCTCGTCCTTTCAAAAGGATTCCTTTTCACAGCCCCCCCCTCCACACCAAGCCCCACCATACCCACATCAGATCATCTATTCTTGTGTGCGCCTGCCTCTCTCTATGTGTGAATGATGAATTGCATTGCATGTGTTTATCGAGATACACTGAAACAGGTATTTATTGCAGGTCTGCCGAGCAGGTTTAAAGGTGAGCATCCATCACCTGAACTCGGCTCGAGTTGCAAATTAAATGCAATTAAACTGTTACAAGCTGCCGGCAGAAGGCCCTGATTGAGGGCAATGCTTGTCTCAGTGACTTTGGGCTAGGAAAATGAAATCCAACTCATTTTTCAGATGAATTTAGAAAAATGAGGTGTCTAAGTCTATAAACTATATTTAAAAAAGTACATGTCTTAAAATAAAATAGATGTTGATGTATATTTACCAAGCTAGCTAACACGTTTTTCTCTGAATATTATGCCTAAATTTCCAAATATTAGAATTTTTCTTTTTTATTTATATTTAATATTATAAGTTTTGAAGAACTTAGTTAAGTTAACTTAGTTAGTTAAGCTGGACTGGCATTATTATATTTTTAAGAGCTAACAAGTTGCCTCTGTCTACTTACAGCTCTCTTAGCATATGCTGTCTTACATTATTCTGTAGTCTCGTTAACATGACATAAAATAGCAGAACCCCAACCATAGCAGTCTGCAAAGTAAGGGCGAGGGGCAAACTGTCCTAACGGTTAACAGAGCCATTGTGGGGGTGTTAAAAGCCTTTGCTGTAACCAACATGAAAATTTCGCTGTTAGAGTAACTTTAGCATTATGTTTGGAAATAAGGGTCGACAGAATGTTAAAAAGTATCTACAGAAATGTAGCTAAATGTAACCAAATACAACATTACAAATTTAAACCTTACAAAAAAGCGATTAACAAAAAAATAAATGTATAAATTTCCTAAAAAATATTATAAAATATTGCTTAAAAATATAATTACGGTAAATTAAAGCTTTACAAATATTAAATGTCATTATATTTTATACATATTTAGTAGTAATGTATGCACATATTTCTGTAGTAAACATAATAACGAGTTACCACTTTGTGTTCCTTGGTTATAATTTAGTAATTACAACTCCAAACTTTATTTTATAGCTTCCTTCAATAAGGAGTCATACTCATTGCTTTATTGTAAGGAAAAATCCAAAGATTAGATGATAAACTTCTTACGAAAAATCCTCACCGATACGTTAAAAGTGCCTCTGATACTAAAAACCCTACCCTTTTCCGGTTTAATGACGGCAACTCCTCTAAGCCTTTCTCCGCCGGGATTAGTCGCTAAGCAGCCGCTACTTGTGTATCTCCTAAGTTAGTACTTATATTTGCCCGTCAAGTTAGTGGCTGTATTTGTGTTAAGCATAAGGTGACAAGCACCGCCGGAGCTCATAAAATGCGTGTCTTGCATTTTGGATTTTCGCCGACGGATGCCGGCTGTCGCCTGTCGGATTTGGGATGCAAAAGTCCGTGAAGTGGCGAACTTTATACGAGCCAGCGAGAGAGAGAGCGAAGCGATTGCTATTCAACGCGGAACAATGTGCCGAATTTGATGGGCGCCATATATACGACTTGGCAGAGTGCTGCTCGGCGTCTTGTGCCTTTCTTATTTATTTTTTTGGTTTTTGCGGAGGCAGAGCTCCTTGCGGTGAAATGAGATGCCCGGAGGAAGGATCCCGAGGCTCGCATCTTGCGGAGCGCGGAATTTAATAACGCGCTGATGCATGCATAATAACGCATAAAAACGTAAAAATGCACGCGAAAAAAGTAAACAAAGCACGCATACTATATATTGCGTATACGTAATACGTATACGTATACGTAATACGTATACGAACCCGCAAAAGTAAGGGGGGGGCTGGGGTTATGGGCGTAGTTGCGCGGTAGTTGAGCTGCAAGCGCCACGGTAAAAACAATTTTCGCAGTCAATTTTCTTTTATGAGCAGAAAATATTTCACAGTGAAAATATTATATGAATATTGGCAGCCGACAGCCGACGGCGGTTTTGGCCTCTGACTTCTCAAGGGCTCAGATTGGGGCGGGGACTCAGGTCTAGGGGCGTGGCTGACATATAAAAACTGGCCGGCATTATACACTTTAATTGTAATAGAAAACGAGGAAGATGTTAAAGGGTTTTCCTTATTTTTTATTCAATTGAGCGTACTAATAATTTCTTTTATTTAAGGAAATGAAAAATAATATTTGTATTTATTAATAAGAATAGAGTTTTTTGTATTTGTTACTCTACTTTATAGTACAGTGCAATATTTGAAATATTTAATTTATTTTATTTTAGTTCAAATTTTTCATTAAATATATGTTTTTCTTCGCGTTGTACTTTTTTCCATAAGGGCTGACAACTTTTTATGAGCTTGATTGTAATTCAAATATTGTCCAGCACTTAAAAAAAGTTTATTTATAATATTAAATGAGCAACTTTATTTGCTTATGAAATATAGTAGCGTTAAGATTTATTTAGTTATGATTTCTCTGAACAGTCAATAAGTACATATTTATATTTATTATTTTCCAATTTTGTATATATCTTGATGCATATCTTTGAAATAAGAAATACTAAATCAAAGTACAATAAAGGATAAGCAAATTAAAAAGTGGACAATAAAATTGAAGTATTAAATCTGAGCGAACGCCCAGAACGTCTTCAATGAGGCTCATAAAAAAAGAAACAAAAGCAGCAACGTGTACTGGGGAGAGTACTGGTGGGGAGTACGAATACCAGACGAACAGTAATTGCTGCAGAAAGTCAAAGTCATTAAAAAGTAATGTCATCGTCAACGTTTCTCGGTTCCAGGACCCTCGGTTCCCATTCCCCTGCGCATTTTCCGCAGAAGCCCGTGACGCTTAGTCGCCGTTTCAACTCCTTCAGGTCCATTAATGATGGATGACGACGACTCGGCTTGCCTAGAACCCGGATCTCGAGGAGACTGCGGGCCCCCAGCTCACCGAAAATGATTTGATGAAAACATTTGAAATTTTTATCGGGTGCAAATTTATGCAGAACTGTTGATGTCATCGCCGTTGCGTTGGCCGCAGAAAAATGATGACGATGCCGTTGTGACGTTGAAATATGAAGGCACATTACCTTCTGCTCATTGCTGATTTACCCCACCCCCTGGCTTTTTATTTTCCACCCCCCTTATATATTTCCCCCCTCCCACCACCAAAGCGAGGGCGACAAGGCGCGTCCTGTTTTTAACAGTGTGCGCTTGGCAAGGGGCCGATAAGAAGTTTGTGTCCTTGTTATTTTTATGGGATTTAATTTTGATTAACATTCGGGGGTGCACTTAAAATTTGTAACAAATGACTTTGAAATTGATTGGAAGCTGGCATTCTTTATTTTTATATGCACCATAAAGCGTTTCACAGATGAATAAACTGGGGAAACGGCATTGTCCTGGCGTATGTGAAGTGTCTTTAAAGTTGGGAAGGTGAAGAAAAGTATGCTTGGTTCATTGCCGTGTAAAAGATATTTACCATACGAAAGGTGTTAAAAGCGCTTGAATTTATAGTATTTATTTATTTACTTGTAAAAGTCACTCTTCATATTGTTCTGCAGGCGTTATTCACCAAACAGTGCTTCACTGTTGCATATTTAACAATTATTTGGCTCGATTACTGCAACACAAATATTTACCATTTAAAAACCCAAAAAACCATACAAAAGCATGTTTCATATTTTGAATAGTGAAATAAATTCTATGCTCAGTTGCATAACAAGGGTAATGTTGGGATTAAATATGTATTTTTGAAAAAAACTGAATAACAATATTTTCAGAGAAAGGTAACCTGTTTGTGTAACTATTTTGTGGAGTTTGTTTTGAAATATCTTTATTGCTAATAGGATGCATTTTCTATTTATTTTATTTATTTATTTCAAAATATTTTTATCTATAGTTTGTGCTTTAGTTTTCTTCCTTTACACTTGTAGAAAGAGTGGTGCTAAAGTACAGACTTAAACACAGGATACCTTTTAAAATTTTACGATTGTATATTTTTCTCACATTATATATATATTTTCCACATCTTATACATATTTTTTGTGGGTTTTATATTTCTGTGCAAAGTTAGTGCTTGGTTTTGCGACTCCTGGTTTATTATTGTCCATACACCTTGGCGAACTTTTTATTGTGGCGCATCTATTGCATAAACTTTAAGCAAATTGCAAATGAAAGTTCTGGGATTTTACATGACAGTTTATGGGTTTGAAATGCCAATGTGTCCGGGGCATAAGTACTGGGTTGTGTAAGGTATGGTACATGGGTATATGGTCATGTGGCGGTTATA